ATACATAGATAGAGATAGAGATAGAGATAGAGATAGAGTGAGAGAGAGAGAGAGAGAGAGAGAAAGTGAGAGAGAGTGAGAGAGTAAGTGAAAAAGAAAGTGAGCGAATGAGAGAGGGAAAGTAAGTGAGAAGGAAAGGATTGAGTGAGAGAAATGAAAGAAAATGAATGAATGAGAGGGCGAAAGTAGGTGAGAAGGATTGAGTGAGTGAGGGAAAGTGAGTGAATGAAAGGGAGAAAGTGAGAATAAGTGAGGGAGTGAGAGAGTGACTGAGTAAGTGTTAGTCAGAAACACCAAGACCATCTTAGACTAAACGAATTTTCGGGAGTCATTGAATTTTTACTGGTAGGAGAGGAGGTAGAGAGGTAGGAGTTTATACCTGTAGTCAATACTAACATTTAAAACTGGGATCAAAACTAATTAGAATGGTTTCAACATTTATTTTTTTGTATAAGTTTGTAACAAGTGTTTGTTGGATTTTCCGTTTTCTTATTGTCATTATTGCTATTTAAACAGCGAAAAATAGTCCTACGGATGAACAGCCAGTAATAAGGTAAATTCGTTTAAATTACATCTTGGGTTTTTCTGATTCTTTGTTGATTGTCATTCAGTCAGTAATTTTTAAAACATTCTTTTAAAAATGATTGGCCAATATGTTTGTAAGACCCAACGAAAGTCTAGTACCTTAGTACTGTATAATTGAGAGAAAGTACCACCTTCGATTGGTTTACTCAGGATCGGAAGCGGGGATTTCCACTTAGAAGAGGGAGAGATCGTTCTGGAGTCCCTTCTTCAGTTAACGATTACCAAATCTATGTTTTGTTTGATGACAAGCGTCCTAGCATTGTCCAATAGGAGGTTTGCAGTTTACCGTCATTCTTTACATATCGTTACACACTGGAAAATAAACACAGAAACTGCCGGTTTGGATGGAATATCCTGTCTTTTCATCAGATCGTCAGATTTTTTAGTTGTACAGCTGTCGGGTGGTTAAATGGAAAAATATAATTTAGGATTACAGCAATAGGGAGAAACGATTACCAGAAAAACGGCAGTAGGTGCTATGTAATTTATTTCTTCGTATTTTTATATCGCTAGCCACTTAGACAAATGAGGTACAAACATGGAACTGATTGCTCGTAAATTTATTATGCCTCTTATACCGAAAGCTTGAATAACTTTCAGGTAAAAAGATTGAACGTGGAATCCCAAAGACGTCAAACGAATACTGCTGATTCATTTTAATCCTCTTCGGTGGGGATCGATCGGATCCTTGACCTTCCTCCATTGGCCCAATTAAGTTGAACGCTGTTGTTGACTGAATAATGAAACGGAAGCGAAATCACCGTCCGGACAGAGTGCAATATAAAAATCACTACATAACGGCTCACTCTTTAGTGTTTTTTTTTAATTCAGAGCAAATATGTACAGCCAGGGCTTTCCAAACTTTTTAGCCAACGGACCCTTTCACAGAACAAAATCCAGGGCGGACCCCTTATTCAAGTATTTAAAATTAGATAGTTATAGTATGTGGTAAATTAAAGTTTTATAAATTAGACAGTAGATTCCTAATTAGGTAATGGAGGGGGTTATCTCTATGAAAACAAGCATTATATTGACATGCTCAACTTTATTTAAAAAATCTGGTACACAAAAATCAAATGGGACAGAACGGAATCAATAGGTAGGTAAAACTCGAGCCAAATTCAAAAGTAATACTTTTCAACATTAATGATTAATGAATTAATGGGAAGAGTGAGGTTGTTTTACCTTGGACAATTTTTGATAGCTGGTGACGGATGTCGAGTTCAATTTAGACAGCTTTGGCATTTAGTTTTGGTGGTTGTATAAGATAAAAAATCCAGATTCTCATAGGTAAGGTGTGGCAGAAAGATATAATGATAAGTATAAAGATGAGTATAATGCCCGCGAAAAATTTATTCTTAATTTGCCAACTTTCACACTGCAGCCTTGAGGGATTCTTACAGATCATTTAAAAACCGTGAGAATAATATTTTAAGGGCCGGATCATTCGTGAAGCTCTTGCGTGTCATGATGTCGTCCCGAGAGTCTGATATGAAAGAAGGGCCATACCCGTCTGACACACGGACACCTGATTTGAGGACACATCCCGCGCAGTGTCTCGCTTGTAGGGAATGGTGGCTCATTGTGTCACACCTGATCGAGGAGTGCCATGGCCCCTAATAGGGAGCGAGCAGACATGACACCCGATAGAAAGACACTACTTATGCACGACAGTAAGTTGTTCTAGAGTCCCTCGTTAGTTTGTGTGACTGAGTGAGATAGCCGATGCCGGAATATCGAGTAACCCCATCGACCCTCACAGAGCATTGTAGGCTGATATGAACTCCATTGTTGCTACATAAAAAACGAAAAAATAACATTGGGCTCGGTTAGATAAGTTTTAAACAACGTTACACAACAGACAGGCCAGAATTAAAATTGTATCCTTACAAAACAAAGCGGAGATGTGATGAACGGGAACGAATAACTGGTGTACATTATGCTGGGACGTGACCGAACATCGCGGATTTCAAACGAGGTTCGCATTCAGTTCGAGCATCATTTAAACTCAAGGAAAATGACGAAAACAACAAATGTGACTGAATATTCAACTGGTATCTTATCACTGCTTGTTTTTCACTCGCACATTTCGTCCTTTTGTGTATGAACTATTTTAGTATTTAAGTTAACATCAGTCAATATACTACACAACCCCCCTCCTACATACCCACAACCGCAATGGGAATTATCTCCTACAGCATTTGAAACTAAAAAGAGTAGAGAATACATTAAACAGAGGAAAACATTTAATAAAGATTAATACGTTGGGGAATGTGAAAAAGAAGGGGGCATAATTTATAGACATCCCGAATATAAATTATCATTGGTCAGCATTTGTAACAATCGACTAAAGGTTTTTCTTAATCATTGCATACGGTGTGCTATTCACAATTTAGCATCGACGATGAAATTTTCATTTAGTTCGACCTTTCTCTGAACTAATTAAATTTTCAACTAATAATTTTCTAAACTTAACGGTACTGCTATAAGTTGGAATTTCCGAATGAATAAAGATTTTTTATTTAACAAAATAACACGTCATTTCTCGACGCACAACTCTTTATGGAAAGCGCTATGTATATCTTTGTTATTTGCTTTTTTTTCAATTCCTAGGCTAGTTTAAAGTTGAATTGAAATATACCAGAGGGCTTGACCTGATAATTCGACCAAAAAGGTCGGTATGTCCGATACGACCCATCGATCTAGGGAGTTTTTGAAAGGATGAAATCCTTTCGACCCAGTACAAAGTACCTACCGTAGGACTATATGTCAATCTACCATATAGAGAGAGATTCATATTAGCAAATCATTAGATCATAGTGAATCCCTATCCATTTCTACCGATCACAAGATTATTGATCACAAAGATGCATGGACATCTACCGAATACGGATGTTCAATTCACGAAGACTATCGCCCGGAAATTGTAATAGCAGCTGAAGTATCGCTCCATCGAGATAACTTTTTTTTAACCCTAGACAAAGTCCATTGGTCAGAAACTAACTTAGGCCGTGACGGCCTCCGAGGTACGCACCGCGGAGAGACCAGGAGGCACTCATACGCTCAACCATTCTTTTCCTTGCATAAATAACATATTGACAGACCCCCTCTTGGAGAGTGGCTGAAAACCATTTACAAACCATTTATGGAAAGGACCAAACTCTCCCGGGGTCCAGGGCCAACCTGCCCATATAGCCCCCTTGACCCTCCCAGCCGGCCAACACCGCACACCACCCCGCCGACGGCCGATGCCATAATCTGCTGAACAAAGCGTCCAAAAAAAGCCAAAATTTGAAACAGAAATATAGAAAGTATTAGAATGAAATTTGTCTCTCATATGAAGTCATACAGGATTCTGTACATTGCTGTACTTAAGAGAGTAGCTAGATTGAAGGGGCCCCGACCGAGAAGCCTTCCAATGCTTGAAGCATATCTCCTCTCCGCAGTTCGATTTTTTTGCATTTCATCATAATGTAGTTGAGATCAAATTCGTCGCAGGATTCACATTTTGGGGAAGACCCACACCCAATCTTGTGCAGGTAAGCGCCACATATGCCATGTCCAGTTCGGAGACGCGAGATAGTCGAGAAGAAAGCTTTTACCCTTTCTAACACCCATTTCTGCGAATCACGGTTTCCTTCTTAAAATGGGGAATAGGGAGATGTCAGATTTCCACACAGAGGATGCAAGATAAGCCGCTTGTCAGTTCTTTGCAATTTTTTTATTTGTATTGTTTTTGTAGTCGCTTGCTAAGATGGGTATGCCCTAGATAACTAGATTCATGATATTTTAGCTGCTTAATTTCTTTACTTTTGTTTGACATGTCGAAACGAGGTGGGTGACACAGGGAGCACATGGGTTTTACCCCAAACCCAATTTTAGTTACAGGTTAGAATCTTACATGGTAATATCATTAGAAAAAAATTATTTATTTGGTGTATTATTTGATGTTAAGTCAAAAACGTTGTATCTGATCAGAAGATGGTTGTCAAAACGACCGGTGGTGTATTATTCTATTACTGAGATCAAGCAAAATCGGTAGGAATTTGAAGATGGTAGAGCGAGATGGGAATCGTCGACGCGAGGTCAAAACCAGTTTATTGTGGTCTTTCAGTAGATGATTCACTGGGAGGCAGTGGTTTCTTCCGTCGCATTGATACCAAATGTGAAACGAGAAAACTTTTTTACCTCACAACCTAGGCGATTTCCAAGAATCTATTCTAATCGCTTCCCATCCGTTTGGCTACGGTGGTCTCTCAGAAATCCGAACCAGTGCTGCTGGGGAATTATTCGGATGACTGAAAAATTCGGATTACAAAGGGTGTTAAAATAATAATATATATAAAAAAAATAACACAACGCAATATTAAAACCTATTAAAATAAATATTATAACAATGTTGTTTACAACTTCAACGCAAAAGGCTTAAAAGGACAAAGGTCGGATGAAACGCATTTTAGCAGGACGACGCAGATCAATTATTTTTTTGTGAAGTAGCATTGTTTACATTAAGAAAGTTTTCTTCTCTTTAACTTCCCAAAAGGAAAATTAACTTCTTCAGGTTCTTGTTCCGGTGTCCTGCCGGAAACCTGTCTTCTGGGACGTTCTTCACAATTGATGGGCGGGGTATGCTTTATATGGTATTAGTATTAATTTTAATATTGTAATTTATTTTTTCCGAAACCTTTTTTTCGGTTGCTGAAAAGTCTTCTTCTTGTTAAAAGAACGCCCTGACAATCCATCCCGTCCTTACCTTCCACCCCTGCATACCGTTATAATACATAATGCCAATTTTTCTTTAAAAAATCTTTCCTTCCTCATTTTTAATCATTTTTAAGCAGTAGGTAGATCATACTTATCTAAAGAAAAATGTAGAACTGATCTAAATTAATTTTAGTGAAAAGAGGTGAGGGATTCATTTCCCCAAAAGAAATTCTCGAAAATTCGTATAGTGTAAGACGGTCTAGGTCTTTCGTATGACTGACTCTACCTCTCACTAACTCCTCGCTCACTCAATTATTCTCTCTCCCTTTCCTCTCTTACTTTCTCCTTCTCATTCATTCACTTTCTTTCACACACTCTCTCTCTTTTCTTTCTCTCTCTGACACTATCTTCTTCATTCACTGTCTTCACTCTATCTCTCTCTCTCTCTCTCTCTCTCTCTCTCTCTCTCTCTCTCTCTCTCTCTCTCTCTAAACATGTACATAATGTTTCATTTGTGTCCTTTAAAGTTCTGACTCTTTCTCTTCAATTGTAAGAAAGGTCGAACGCGACCTAAAATATCGAGATTTTTTAAATAAAAACGATATTCACTCATTCATTATTTCACTCACAATCTCTTTCACTTTCTCTTTCTCTCTCTCTCTCTCTCTCTCTCTCTCTCTCTCTCTCTCTCTCTTACTCTTTCTCTCTTCTTTTTTTCTCATACACTCTCCCTCATTCCCTACCTCTCACTCACTCATTGTTTCTCTTTTATTTTTCTCTCTCATACACTACCTCCCTCTCTCTCTCTCTCTCTCTCTCTCTTCTTTCATTGTTTCTGTCTGTTTCATTAGTTCCCTTTAAAATTATCAATTTTGTTTTATTGGATTTCTGGAATGTTCTAAGTACCGAAGTTCGGATTAGATAGAGAGCACTGATTTTATTTATCTGCTCATCTCACCTTTATCACCGCCGGCGGTTTCAAAACGGAAAACGGCTTAGACCTTGGTACTTCCAGTTTTCCACAGCAGGGGCAGCTGTTTCGAATTATAGTTGGAATTTATCCTGGAGAATCCTTCCAAAAGATCTAACATTCTCCGAGCTCCTTCGGTGTTTTTCCATTCTCCGAGCCTATATGATTTGACCTATGAGTAATTTTTAAAACTCGTTTTTTTTTTTTAAATCTACGTTAAGTTGCAGTTCTACCTTTCTCGTTGAAGTGCTGTTGACGGTTATACTAAAAACATAGCTAGTGCGTTTGTTTACCTAACTCATAAGTTTAAAAACAAAAATAAAATAGATAAACGTCTGTTTTGCGTCTTTTACCTTTCTAACGAGTGAAAAGTATTTCATTCAATCTGTTTTTAAACCAATCTTCTCCATAAAAAACATACGCGAATCTGAATCATTGTTTATTACGTTGTTACATAATAGTTATGATAGGGAGCAAAATCTCTATTTGTGTGATGATGGTTAGAACATTGATCTTGATTATCACATAAAAAAATATTGTTCGATTTCGTTTGAATAAAGCACTTTCTCTCACAGGATGGCTTTACTAAGTCTTTGGGTGTCGCGGATGAAGTGGCAAATCATTTTACCATGCTTTTTTCATATCATCAATTAAAAAGCCCTGTGCTCGCAGGGATCTGTTTGGATAATTCAAAGTTTTGCCATAAATTTCAAATGCAATTCACCGTTCCCCGGCATCCTCACTAACTGTAACCTTGGCAGATCACCTTGACTCTTGTCCAGCTATTTGCCGTGTTTGAATTACGAGCGAAATAATTAAACGTTGATGCGACCTGGCGGTTTACGTAACTATAAAAACGGACGGTCTGAGTTTGAAGTGTACAGCTTGCAACCGTAACAAACGGTCACGTTAAAAGCTAAATCTTGAGAATGATTTTTAGTGTTGCAGTCTTCAATGTAGTACTTAAATTTGGTTTTATTTTGTTCTGTTCAAATAAAAATGCTCGAGAGCCTTCTCCCGGTCAGTCACCGGCAAAGTGTATAATTATGTGTAATTTGTCACTGTTGGTGGGGGAATTAACTATTTAGACAAAATGCTAATCTACAACAGGGAGAAAAATAAAATTTAACAAATTACAAAATCCGCTACATTTGGCAGTATTTTGGCAAAATTATTTTTTTAAATGCAATGTAGAAATTAAGCCAGTTTTATTTCACAGTAAAGCTAACATTTAATCTCTCTGTCGACACAATCAAAATTATTGAGGCATCAGTAGTCTCAAAACTTTTCAAGTACTTTATTCTATGAGACTGATGGAAGATCGGCCATGTCATAGATCACAATAATTAGCCATGAAGTTTTGAGACTGTTCGAAAAAAAGTCTTAAAACTATATCGTCCTAGTCCTAAATGTTTTTCACCACTGGTTTTAACCAATATAATATGAGCGATTGTCAAGGGCATCTAGTGGGGAGCTCGATAAGCGAAATGTCAGATGATCTGAGTTTCCAGAGCGACCTTCCCGCAGGAGAAGCGCTCATTCCGCGAATCGCGATTTTTGCCAAAGGTCAATTGCGCATTGGTGGACGAAAAAAAGAAAGAAAACCGGCTCTTTGTAAGTGGAGGTCTATCCAACTACACACAACTGCACCGGTAAACTTTCCACCCTTAAGTCTGCCGGCTCCGAGAGTGAAGACCAATCATTGTCTTGACACTCATTCGAAATTACTTCTTTTTACTACTTACTAAATTTACTAAGGAAACTCTTAAAATATGAAACTGGCAAACCATATTGCCTGGATGATCGGTACGCAAAAAGGGCACAAAACGATAGAATTAATCCCTATTTTTTTAAAAATGAGTTTAGGAATTATCTTTGATAAGAAGGTGAACTTGGAAACCCTCAACTACAATGCATCGAAACCAAAATTAAACATTACTAATGGTCACAAGAAAAACCTAGGTAAATCTTGAGGACTAAAACCGAAAATAGTATAAGCTCTACAAAAACCAAGTTACCCTAAAACTAGGCAGTGAGCAAAGATTGCCAAATTTATGCATCCATGTGGCAATGACTACAACCAGACCAGCTGTCTCAGAAACACTATTATACCTGCCTCCATTGGAGTCATATATACAACGAGAAGCTAAGGAAAGATCAAATAGACTGTAAAAATAAATAAATTGGAAGGAGACTAAATATTTCGGCCGTACAACCATAACAAATAAAATCAGACCCCCTTCTTAGAAATGGAGGCTGGAAACACCTTACAAAATTTTAACAGACCAAAAAGGAGGATAAGAAATCAGGAGAAAGCCGATACTTTTATATGGTATAAAAATATTTTCAAAACAAAAGAACGGTCAGTTACGTTCTGTGCGATCCCAAAATATGAGCAATCAAACTCATTATGGAACCTCGATCTTTCAAGCTGAACTACATGCCATCAACGCTTGTACCTTACAAAATCTTTAAAAAAAGGCTGAAAAAATAAATCATCAGCAGCCAAGCAGACTAAAAGCATTCTTACGTAACACCTCCCACCCCAAAGCAGTGTATTTAACCAAAACCAACCTGGGAAAACATAACCAGACAATACCTTGAGTACCAGCACCAGGGCACAAAGGAAATCTAGGTATTTAACAAATAGACAAACTGGCTGGAGGAAGACTTGCAACCTATACTTGGAACCTATACTACAAAAGCAGAAGAGACTCATTAAACTCATGATTAAAGAACTCCCATAAAAACTGGCTACGACATTACAGTGAAATAGGGTAAAACTCAGGGGACTATTAGGGCCGAGAAAACACCTACATGGGTATATTGAAAGTAAAACAATTGCAGCGATGATTCGGTGATCTACTACGTCTTAAAAGTCCAAATCTTGTCAATTGAACTGAATCAAGGGACTAGAAAAAATAAAATAAACCAAAAGGATGCAGTGATTGGGGATACCAAACTCGCTTCCTTGCATCCCATCATCACATCAACCTATCGACATCCTAAAAAGGAAGATATCGGGTGCATTTAAAGTCGTCCGCGTGTCATATTAAACTTAGATGGGCTTTGGTGGCAGCTTTTAGGCGTTGAGACGGGGCTCATCACTGTAAGGTAAAGGGTGTCCCGGGTTGGAAGGCACCGGCTCTCCATTTGTACCCGACGTACTTACAAACGGTTTTTTTTTTCAAAAACACCGGCACCCCGAGGGTTCATATAACCTCGTAGTTGAAATACTTTCGTGAAGAGGGAGAGAGAGGGAGAGGGAGTAATTGTAAGTGTAATTGTTTAGATTACTTTTTGTTTCCTGAAAGTTCCAAAGTTTCCTAATAGTTCTTTTTTCCCTGGATTCCACCTTACCAATCCGTCAACCACGGTTTTTTCCTTTCCTTCATCAATTACTTCATATTTGAAAAAAAGTAATTAAAAAAAGATACTGCACCACAAAAAAGGATATTAAATGGAGTACGTTTTCTGAAATTTGCTGGTTTCTAGGTTTGGTAATAGTAGTTCAGAATCACCATAGTAGGTTTGACAACATTATTTTTACAACAACAAAATTATTTTTCTAAGTTCTGGCTACAAAAACACTTATTTCACCTACGTTTACGAATTTAGTATTGATCACATCTTATTGGAAATTTAACGTACTTTTCAATGGTTTTAACGGATTTTTCCAAAACCGTTTAATTTTGGAGTTATCATTGTTTATTTGAAGCAAGATGGTGAACTCTTCAAAAATCAGAAAAAGGGGAATAACTCCGAAACTTGAGAATCGGGCCATTGTTAATTAGGAAATTTTGTTTCTATTTTGAATTTAGAATCTACAGGCAAAGTTTGTAACACGATTAGCCGAACACCCTGTATAAATATCCTAATAGGTTTGTTTTGTGTATGCAATAATAATGAAGCGCTGTGTTGAAATTGTTTTTTGTACTTATGACGTCACACCATCTGGAATCCGAA